AATATTAATTAATATTAAAAATGTTATAATTACAATATAATATAATTACAAATACCGATTACAACATTTCACATTAATCTCAAACGAATCCATGGTTCCTATGGTTAATCCATGGTTTTAACCCAACCCAAACCTTTTGTTTTGGATCTGTGAAAATCCAATCCAATGTGAAACCGCAATTTTAAGAATTCAATCCAATCCAACCCAAACTAACCCAACCCAACGGATTGAGTTGAACTGGTTGGATTTTGGGGTACCGAAATTTCTTTAAATTTCACTATTAAACAGTACAGTTCAAAATTTTTAAATTAATTTACAAATTAAAATATTCTCATAAAAATGTTTGAGAAATTGAAAATTCAAACCTCCTTAATACTCATAATTCTTTATGAAATTTTTTTTAAATATTCTTAATAAATTTTTTATGTGATATTTTAGACATTTTGGTTTTTCTCAATCTCAAAATATTAGTAAACTAGTACTAAATAATTCAATAAAAGAAAAAAAACCAATAAGTTGTTAGTTTTAGTAGAAAGAGTTAGATTTTTTTCAAATAAGATTTTAAATTCAAATTTTGAAAATGAAGAAATAGATTCTAAGAGAATTCCTTCTAATAAGATTTAACACCACTTGACATCATTTGACACCACTTGACTTCACATTAATTGGAGCCCGATATAATTTCTAAGTACTAAATATTTAAAATGTCAAGATTATTAGTGAAATTGTTTAAATTATTTTAATTAATCTTCTTTATTTGTTGATTCATTACTAAGAGTATTTAAGTGTTTACAGAATAATTTTTAATATTTTAATTGTCAAAATATTATAATATTTTGCAATCTAACAATATATTATGAGTAATTTATAATTATGTCAAAAAACAGGGTTTACCTGTTTTTCACCGAGGTCCATTAAGTTTAAGGATTGGATCAAAGACTCAAAGGCACAATTTATTATTGTTGTAATTTTTAATTTTTACTTTTAAAAATTTTAAAAACTAAAATAAAATTAAATAATTAAAGAATCCTCTTTTATTAAATAGTATGGCCTTTGTTAATTTTTTTTTAAAAGTTTACAGACAAGCAGCAGCTCATTTGTTGCTTTACTATATATACTCAATTTTCTACATAAATAAAATTCATATTTCATAAAAAAAAAAAAAAAATCTAAAAATGATGCAGACCAGCAACCGATGTCACTTCTTTTGGATTTCTTGTTCATAATTTTAGGACCAGAGACAAATTGCTTGGATGAGTTCTTTCTGCTGGTTTGGATGAAGATTCTTGCTTAAGTAGGTACAGGGTATGTTTTCTATCGCAAAACTTTAGTCCATAAACCTTTTCCATATCTTCTTTCTAAACTCAGAAGTAATGAAGCTTATAAAAATGTGGACCATACGCTCAATCCTAAAACAAAAAACTTTGGATCAACTAAAATCTAGCCACTTTAATGGTCCCTCGGATTATAAATATGTTGTGTGGGGTATCTTTTAGTAGGGTAGGGAACAAGATTTTGACTCTGGCTTCAGCTTTTCTATATGGTCTTCTAGCAGGCAGAGTCCTGCTTGTGGATGGAGGAAAGGAACGACATAGCTGATCTCATTCTCATTTGTGAGCCATTTCCAGAGAACACATGATTGTTGCCTCTGGATTTCCCTATTACTACTAAGTTAATTTGACACTTTTGATCAGGAGTTTAATAGTTCTTATAGGAACATGCTTAAGAATAACACTATAAACACTTCAACAGAATCACGACCTCTATCTCATTATGGCTGATGTATTTCTATGTTTCTTAAATAATTTTTTTTTTTTTTTTTTTTTTTTACTTTTTATGTCCTTTACCTCAAAAACATTCAATTTTTTTGTTCTTCTATCAATAGAAGTCCACATTTGACATTAAGTTAATTGAAAAAGGGTAATAATATGAGAATAATTTATTTATATAATTTTTATTTATAACTTGAATATATCAAAGTTAATATATATAATATTGTGGGTTTTAAATGAGTAAAAAAAGTTAATCATTAAATAACACATATAAGATTATATGAAAAGTAAAATACAAAAAATTACCTCTTGATTATTTTTTATTAAAAAACTAATTTTTTTAAATACATGTCAATTATTATGCGACGTAAGTAAAAGGAAGGGGCCAACTAAGACTCACATCGATGCCAATTTGTGTTAGGCCCCACTCACTCAAATACCCCTTGTGCAAGTTAATCCTTTTTTGTGTTTCCTTAAACCAAACAAGAGATTTGTGTTCTACACTATTAAATTCTGTTTATTGAGAAACGACTCTCCACCCCTTGAGTCAAATATCTGCACTATTATTTACTTGTAATGGTGATCGACTCTAATTTTTTTGGTTAAATGCTAATTGGAGTCCCTCAACTTTATGATTTTACACTTTTTTGTCCCTTAACTTTTTTGTCCCTTAACTTTTTTATTACATTTTTTTATCCCTCAACTCTAAAAGTTATATATTTTGGTCTCTCTATTAGTTAACTATGACACAATTTTGGTCTCTCCATCAATTAACTATGACATGGCGGTTAAATAATTCCATAGTGGCATTTTCTTTTAATTTTTTTGATGACATGGCAATAATATACTTGTAATTTGGTTACGTGTGCAAATAAAAATACCAAATTAGATGCCAAATCAGAAGAGCATTTATGTTTTAATAAAAAAAATAAAAAATAATAAAATTACCCTAATATCCTCGTCTCCCTTTCTTATCCATTTTCTTCCTTTCTTTCTTCCTCATTTTGTGAAACCCAACTGTTGGATTTTGTTGAACCCAACTCGAGTTCAATGAAACCTAGCAAGCACGTTCAACAGAACCCAATAGATCTTAGCTCTTCTTTGGCCTTCCATTCTTAGTTTTTTTATCTACCTGATATATCTATTTTTTGTAGGTTTTTTCAAATTTTGGGAGTTGATTTGTTGGTATTTGATTACATTTATGTTAGAATTTGATTAGGATTTAATTGACATTATTTATTACCAAGTGAATGAGGAGTTAATTTGATTTGATGAGAGTTGTTGGGTTTGATGCAACCCAGCAAGTGGGTTTCGTTAAATCTAGTAGTTAGGTTTCAATAAAACCCAAACTATGCTGAGTTTAACCTTAACTGGAGCAAAGAGGAAGAAAGAGGGGAAGAAGATGGATCGAGAAGGGGAGACCGAGGTACTAAGACAACTTTATCATTTTTTTTTTTATTTTATTAAAAATACGAATGTTTATCTGATTTGGCATTTTTATTTATCCATGTAACCAAATTATAAGAGAAATGATTTTGGGATAATCTTTTTGTTCCACATTTTTATACAACTTGACATGTCATTTACATAATTAATTCTTTTTATTCATGTGAGTCTCGTGCTATTAAATGAGTGAATGCATTCAATAACACATGAAAGTTGTATAAAAAAGTTGTTTAAAAAAGTTGTTCTTATAGCACCGCCCAAATTATAAGACATGAAATTGTGATGTCATCAAAAGAATTAAAAGAAAATGCTATTTTGGAATTATTAATTGCCACTTCATAATTAACTAATTGAGGGACCAAAATTATGTAGTTTTTAGAGTTAGGGATCGAAAAAGTGTAAAAAAAGTTAAAGGACAAAAAAATGCAAAATTTAAAGTTGAGAAACTAAAATTAACATTTAACCAATTTTCTTTTATTTCGAGTCAATTTCAACCCGAGCTCAGAACAATCATTCTTGAACAGTACTTGAACACAAATCTTACACCCGGCTTTCCATTGGGAAAGTTGGAGGCAACGAAAAGAAGAGTGATGGGGAAAAGAGTATATACTATCTTTAGTTGTTTAGATCGATAATTTTAATAGAGAAGAAGAAGATGAAATCCTCTCC